TTTCTAGCTTTTTGAGATGCAAAAATATTGATTAAATTTTTATATTCAAGTTTTGTTAATATATTCTTTTCAATCGATAATATAATTGATCCATTTAATTTTTCTTGTGACATAGTTGATCGGAGATAAGATTTTATTAATTTAAGTTTTGAAAAACTTCTCTTCGCTGAAGTAATTGTTATTGGTATTGTTAACAATATTCTAAAAGCTATACATGCATTTAAAAAAGAATCTAATCGTTTTATACAAGTTAGGGTTTTAGCTGGAGTGTTAATTTGAGATTGTATGACTCTTCTTAATACAGTCAATTCTTGAAATAAATCTAAATAATCAATATTAGAAAATCAATTATGGTTCAAAAAAATTTCAAGTTTAAGACAAACCAGTTTATTATAGTAGATTGAGCCAAAAAAATTCTGACCCTTAAATCTTGATACTATCAATTAATTGATGGTTTGTTGAACTATAAGAGATTACATAATAGAGAGCTTTAGTGTTCTTTCTTTGATGAGATTAAAATTTCACAAAGAAAGAAAGGCAAGAGAGAGTGCCTTTAAACAGAACTGTGGCCTATGAGTGAGTGAATCTTGTAATTTGTGCAAGAGAGTCAGAGTGATGTAAAGAGATTTGCTTATTTCCTTCGTAGAGATAGAGATTATTCTTTTTTATTGTAGAAAGATAGAGGTTATTCTTTTTTATTGTAGAAGTTTAACTGTCTGCTACAGCTAGCAAGTGGAGAAATTTTCTAAGTTGTTGAAGTGTTAACAAACTTATCAATAAAATTTGGATCCTCTCAAACCAGTCTATCTAAAATATATATACTTATAACTAAAACTCTTAACAGGGACCCCAAAATTTTACAAAAATTAGAGGCCCTAGGCGACTAACTAAGTAGCCTAGGCCTAGGGCCTAGGGCCAGCCCTGTCTGGCAATGGCGGAGGGAGGAGGGGCCTGGTGCCACACTGAAAAAAAATATTTTTTTTAATTAAATATGTTTTATATATTTTTTTTAGATTAATTGAGCCCATTGTAATGATTTGTGAAAAACAAAATTAATTGGATCAAATAAGTTGGGTAGTAGAACAAAAAAACAAAAACAAAAAGTCCATACCAAATTTATTAAAATTAGCAAACTAAAATTGATTTCTTAAAATATTGATATGATTTATTGAAGTCTCATTTGATTCAAAAATTATAGAATATATAGCAAAAAATGAGTAAAATATAAAATTTATAAAAATATTGAAAGTTATAGAATATTGCTTTTATTTGTATCAAATAAATTATATTATTGATCCTTAATGTATAGATGTTATCTTATTAATTTTTTTCAAATAGACATTTTTTATGTTTAATGAATTTTTAAGTATCAAATTTAATATAAAAAAATATAAATATACCGTGCCTTTAGGCACATATTAGCAAACTAAATATTTTCAAATTAATTAGTTGATTTATGCTGTACCGTGCCTTTAGGCACATATTACCCCCAGTAAAAACCAAGTATGGCAAGGATACATCATAATATCAATTTATAACCATCAATTTAAAGCCAAAAAAGAAGGGATCACTTTGACAGCTCACCATATAAATCACACTATAATCCATGGTTTTAAATTGATGTCGGCAAATTGGGCCCAACTTGTATCTTGTCCAGATATGATGAATTTAAGGGCCATATTATATTCCTTTAAAATCTTAGAAATTTTAAACAAACTATTTTATATTTTTATTTCAACTAATAATTTGCTTAGTGTTTTATTAGAATTATTATTAATAAGCCCTAACGATTTTGCCTCAATCATGATGGTTAGTTAGAATTGATAATCGAATTGAGTTTTACGAGCTCAAGTCAAACCGAGTTTATTTTTTTAAACGAGTCTAAAAAATTATTTAAGCCGAATCTAAAATGATTTTGCCTCAATCATCATGGTTAGTTATTGAAGGAAGGGTAGGGTTGGTCATGTGATGTGGGCCGTGAACCGGGTCATTTTGTGTTGGAATTTTGGGTCCATGAGTTAGGCGAATTCCTTCAGTTTCTTGTCCTTTGGTGGCCAATGTTTGAGGTATTATTGGGGGTCGTTGCGATTCTAATTTTTATTTGAAACGATGGCTTCTTTTAATTTTTTAAAAGGGTTCAAAAGGGAAGGAAAAGATGAAGGAAGGACCCATCTGATCTGACATTTTAATTTCAGGCTTGAGTTTAAAAGCCATTATATTTTATGTACCATCATTGCTTCTTATGGTGGTTGTACTTGTACTTGAATGACTATACCCACATCCATATAATAATAATAACAATAATAAAAAATAAAATAAAAAATAAAAAAACCAATAGTGCAGGACAGAGGGACAATGTCCTTTGCTAGTTTCAGCTGTTGACGGAGATGTGTGAAAAATAAGCAAATCAACCCTTAAAGAATAGTTAAACAAGTTAGGGGATGGATGAGTTGTAACCTTTCATTTCCCGGGGTTCGAATTTTGAATTTTTTTTTTGGATTAAGTTAGGTCATAAGCGATTTATTTTTTATGAATATCTTAATTTTAGTGTAAATAATTTACCTTTTAATTTCATCTAACGGTCAATAAATTGACATTTGTTTTCCTTAATATTTTTCCTCCCAACCAGTCAACGATTACGACTGATCTTGGAACACATGATTTTCTCTGACAAAATAATTAAATTGGTCAAATTTACCATTAATATCATCTGTGTAGTGTAACATTCTGAATTTGTATAAGATACAATGATAATTTTAATTTTAATTAAAAAAACTCATAATTAATTTTAATTTTATTTATTTAATTAATTATCTCAAATTAACATGTCTTAAATCAAAAATTCAAGACTATTTTTTTTATCTCCTAAGAAAATTCAACGCTAATATATTCTTATAAATTAATAATTTTGTTATAACTTGTATTAATTAAAAAAATAATATTTTAGAAATAATATTTTTAGAAATTTTTTTGATAGAACATATTTGGCGATATGCTTTTTAATAAATTAGATTTTTAATTTATATTACATTTGACTCGATTTTGATTATATGTATATAAATTAATGTTCGATTTTGATTATATGTATATAAATTAATGTTTTTTATGTCAATTTTATCATATTTCGTAGATTTATATATAATATAAAATAGGGCGGCTTCAACAAGCTCTTCCTACGGTCTCAAATTCATTCATCAAACGGCCAACAAATTGTTTTCTTAATATTCCCTCCCCCCCTCAACTGGTCAACAATTACGGTTGATCTTAGAACATATTCTACAGTCTTAAATTTATTCATCCAACGGTCAAGAAATTACAATTTTTTCCTTAATATTTTATCCCCCAACCGGTCAACGATTACGACTAATCTTGGCACACAGTATTTTCTCTGATATAATAATTAAATAGGTAAAATTTGTCATTAATATCATATGTATATTGTAGCATTTTGAATTTTTATTAGACACAATGATAACATTTTGATTAAAAAAAACTCATCAATTTAACAAATAAAAAAACAAGGGCGATGTTTAACACATTTATATTAAATATAATTAATTTTAATTTTATTTAATTAATTAATTATCTCAAACTAACATGTCTTACCCATATCTTGAATCAAATGTTTAAGACTAATTTATTTTAATCTTTTAAAAAAATCTAACACTAATATATTCTTATAAATTAATAATTTTGTAATAATTTGTACTAATTAAAAAATAATATTTTATAAATGATATTTGTAGATCTTTTTTTTGATAAAAAATATTTTAGAGATGTGCTTTTTGATAAATTTAATTTTTAGTTTGTATTATATTTGACTCGATTTTGATTATATGTATATAAATTAATATTTTTTTAAGTCAATTCTATCATATTTCACATATTTATCTATAATATAAAATATGATAGACTTCAATAAGTTCATCTGATGGTCTGAAATAAACTCATTAAATAGTTATCAACATCTCTCTCAAAATCATTCAAATTGAATTTTACCTTTTTTTCTCATTCTTCACTCTTTCTCTCTGGTAATGGTGGAGGGAGGAGGGGTAAGAAGGGTCTGGGGCTACCTTGGAAAATATATACATATTTTTTATTTATATATGTTTTATATATTTTTTTGGATATTTTTAATTGGGCCTACTGTAATGATTTATGACAAACAAAATTAATTAGGTCATACAAGTTGGGCACTAGAACAAAAAAAAAAAACAAAAAGTTGATATTAAATATCTTAAAATTAGTAAACTAAAATTGATTATTTAGATCATTGGGATGATTTATTGCAACCTCCTTTGATTCAAAAATTATGGAATATATAGTCAAAACTTATTAAAATATGAAATTTGTAAGAAGATTAAAAATTATATAATATTATTTTTATTTGTGTGAAATAAATTAAATTACAAATTATAATATAAATATATATATATATATAACATTATTTTTATCTATTAATGACAGTAAAACTTGTACTTAAAGTGTATCCACCCTAGATCATATTTTTTGCTCCATCACTGTTCTTTGGGATTTTCATTCATCACTTCTTCAAATTAAACAATTGATTTATATTATTTCGTGCCTTCAAGCATGAGTTACCCTTAGTTACCTTATATATAGAAATGGGTTCATTTTATTTACTTGGTTATTTGTTATTAATAGTGATATCATATGATAATGATAATGTAATATTATTGTTGTATTGAATATTTACTAGGAGATATGAAGTAGATAAATAAGATAAAATGTTTAAGTTATGAAAATAACATTTTTGCATGCATATAAATCGAATCTCATCTAAATCTTATAATAATAATAATAATAAAATTATCGAATCCTATCTAAATCCTATAGTAATAAGAATCTCATACATTGGAGCGTTAAACAATTCCCTTAAGATTGTGGGTAAATGAATAACTTATACCATTACGGCATTAAGTATCACTTCCTCCCTCCAAAGTCCAAAGAAGTTGAATTGGATAGCACTGATTGGCATTATGATGATGATGATGATGATGATTAAGGGAGGTTGGTGCTACCTGGGCCTGGCTAAGGAATGCTTGCTTTGTCTTGTCGCCGCGTGTCTTAAAGTTGCCTTGGGCTCTGCCTTCATTAAAAGATAGAGCAAGCAGTTGCCTTTTCAACACTCGAACAAACAGAGTTGCTCCAGCTTGATTTCCATTCTATGTACACTTCTATCTCTTTCTACAAGTTAGTGTCAACACCAGATAAACGTAAATGGAGGACCACCATCCACCACCGAAACGAGTGGTGGTTTGCGGCGGCGGAGTCATCGGAGTCTGCACCGCCTACTTCCTATCCAAAAAAGGTGTCGCCGTAACCCTTGTCGAAAAATCATCCATTGCCTGCGCTGCCTCGGGTAAAGCCGCTGGATTCCTCGCCCTCGATTGGTGTGACGGTGGTCCACTCTCGAAACTCGCTCGTGCCAGCTTCAATCTCCATCGTTCGCTTTCCCAAGAACTCAACGGCCCACAATCATACGGCTACCGTCCCCTCACCACTCTCAGCCTCTCCATCACCGAGTCGTCTTCTTCATCATCCTCCCAAGAGCCCCACAAAAGCCCTAGCAGAAATCTCCCTTCGTGGGTTGACGGCCCAGCTAAAGGCCCAAGAACTATTGGGACAACAGAAACCACAGCCCAAGTTCATCCTCGACTGTTCACTAAAACACTATTGTCAAAGGCGGTTGAGGACCATGAGGTTGAGGTGGTGATTGGAAAAGTAGAGACGGTGGAAGTGGAGAGTGGAAAAGTTAGGGCGGTGGTATTGGAGGATGGGAGAGAGATTCAGGCCGAAGCAGTGGTGCTGGCTCTTGGGCCGTGGACAAGTAAATTGTCCCTTTTGGATTCGATTTTTAGGGTTTATGGGCTTAAGGCCCATAGTGTAGTGTTACAGCCCAAAGAGCCTGATGCTATTACACCTCATGCTCTTGTTTTGAGTTATTATTCAGCTCAGGGAGGCAAGCCCCTCAACCCTGAAGTGCATCCTCGTTCCACAGGTTTGTTAGCTTGGTTGTTTTGCTGTCAAATGCTAAATCACCCAAAAAAAATAAAAAAAAAAATTATTAAATGATCTTATGATGATATAGTGGTCGATGGTTTTGATTCTAATTTTACTCATTTAAATTTTAGGCATTGCTGATCATTTTAGCGTTATATTATATGATCTACTAAGGGTAACCCGTGCCTCAAGACATGGTGCAACATAAATCAACCAATTAATTTAGAAAAATGAGAAGTAAAAAACCCTGAAAATAGTGGCAGAGCCAAATATATTATTTAAAGTTGACACACTTTAAGTATAATAGATAAAAATAATGTGATATATTTATATTTTTTTATATCAGATTTGATACTTAAAAATTGATTAAACATAAAAAAACGGTCTATTTGAAAAAAATTAGTAAGATAACATCTATTTATTAAGGATCAATAATATAATTTATTTGATACAAATAAAAGTAATATTCTATAATTTTTAATCTTTTTATAAATTCTATATTTTACTCATTTTTAGTTACATATTTTATAATTTTTGAATCAAATGAGACTTCGACAAATCATACCAATATTCTAAGAAATCAATTTTAGTTTGCTAATTTTAAGAAATTTGGTATGGACTTTTTGCTTTTGCTTTTTTGTTCTAGTACTCAACTTGTTTGATCCAATTAATTTTGTTTTTCATAAATCATTACAGTGGTCTCAACTAATCTAAAAAAATATATAAAACATATGTAATTGAAAAAAATATTTTTTTCAGTGTGGCCCCATGCCCCTCCTCCCTCCGCCACTGGCAGAGAAAGATAGTGAAGAGTGAAAAGATTAAGGTAAAATTTAATATAAATAGTTTGATATCGTCAGATTGGCTTGTTGAACCTACCCTGTTTTATATTATAAATTATAGAATTCACGAAATATAATATAATTGACTTAAAAAATCATTAATTTATATACATGTAATCAAAATCGATTATTAATTTATATACATATAATCAAAATCGAATCAAATTTAAAACAAATTAAAAATCTAATTTATTAAAAAACATATCGCCAAAATATTTTCTATCAAAAAAAGATGTACAAATACTATTTTTTAATTAGTACAAGTTATTACAAAATTATTAATTTATAAGAATATATTAGCGTTGAGTTTTCTTAAGAGATAAAAAAAAATAGTCTTGAACTTTTGATTCAAGGCATGTGTAAGGCATGTTAGTTTGAGATAGTTAATTAAATAAATAAAATTAAAATTAATTATATTCAATATAAATGTGTTAAATAGTGCCCTTGTTTTTTTTTAATCTATTAAATTGATGAGTTTTTTTTTTAATAAAAATATTATCATTGTCTGTTATATAAATTCAAAATGTTGCACTATACAGTTGATATTAATGGCAAATTTAAACCATTTAATTATTATGTTAGAGAAAATTTTGTGATTCAAGTCACTCGTAATCTTTGACTGGCTGTGAGAAAAAATATTAAAGAAAAAAATGTTAATTTTTTGACCGTTGGATAAATAAATTTGTAACCGTAAGATATGTTCCAAAATTAGTCGTAATCGTTGACTTTTTTTTGGTTGGGGGGGGGGGGGAAATATTAAGGAAAATAATTGTAATTTCTTGATCGTTGGATAAATGAATTTGAGATCGTAGGATCGGCTTGTTGAAGCCGCTCTGTTTTATATTATAGATTTTATGTCTTATTTTTTCATTAATTTAGCCTTCTCTCTAGTGATATTTCATCCATCATCATGTGTATTACTTTGCGGTTATAAATAAATCATCATGCGTATTACTTAGCAGTTATAAATAAATAACTAGGACTAGTGAACTTCACTTATGAGGAAGTTACTAATGGATGGCTATGAAATTTGGTGGAATTCACTAGTTTTACGTGTTTTTGTTTGCAATTAGTTAATAATATCACGTGTTAATAATTATATGATATTACTTTTATATTCAAAGCTTGATCTTCAAACTTTTTTCATATATATATATATATATTTTGTAACCAAAATTTTAGCACACAGAAATGTATCGATTTAAACTACACTATTTGTCTAAAATGTGTGTTTTTAATAAGTTAAAAATCACAAAATTGATGTAATAAAATTCAAAAATGATTGAAAATATGGCAACATATTAATATAAAATTCATGTTGTTGTGTGTTTGGGTGAGAATCAGAAAACAAAAGAAAGATTCAAGTATTGCATGATGCATTTATTTACTGAAAAATATTGCAACCATTCTGATCATCCATTCTTCCAACTGAATTTTCAAGTTAAAGCTTAAAAAAGTTTTTGTTTTGATCTTTTTTCCTTACAGGGGAAGTGTACTTATGCGGAATGTTAACTGAAGCCGATGTCCCAGACGATCCAGAACAGGTGGCCCCTAACCCAGAATCGATACGGGTGCTTAAGAGAGTGGCTAAGAACGTATCAAGCCATTTGGAAGAAGGGGAAGCAACATTGAAGGCCGAGCAAGCTTGCTTTTTGCCGTGTACCGACGATAGTGTACCGGTTATCGGTCAAGTACCGGGAGTGAAAGGGTGTTTTGTGGCAACTGGGCATAACGCTTGGGGGATTCTAAATGGTCCGGCAACCGGAGTTGCTGTGGCTGAGCTTGTGGTGGATGGTCGTGCTAGTATTGTTGATCTTACTCCTTTTAATCCAGTCAGATTTGTTGGTGGGAAGAGGTAGATTAGTATGGTATAGACTACTCCCCCGTCATAGTTGATTAAATAGATTTACAATTTCACGTTGCTTATATAAGGATTACACTTTTTCCACTATAGAGTGGTTGATTTTGTTAAAATTTGCAGAGAATGCAGCTAGTTCAACTGTATCTCCCAGCTCATCAGATGATTCCACTGATCACCATCTAGCTCAGCCTCTTCTCCAGCTCAGCATGATCACGTAGAACACACTAGAAGGATCTAGCAGAGCTCACTAGAAGAATCCTGAGGCATATGGAAGTTGGTAGTTAGTTAGGAAAATTTCTCTTATGTGTAAAGCATTTAGATGAATAAGTTTGGTGTGCACTTGTAGCTAGTATAAATACAGATATATGTACAGCAATGAGAATAATTCTCTTCTTCATTTTTTCTCTCCTTAACCTTCTGCACCTTGTTCTTAAGATTTTCAATATGGTATCAGAGCAGTAATGGCTAACACACCACCTCCAAATCCCAACGATTCCTCTTACAACAGTGATAATGTTGCAACCAATCTCAATCCAAAAGACCCCGTTAACTCATACGCCCTCAATCCAAAAAATGGACCAGGTACCTTCCTTACCAATCACCTTCTCACAGCAGAGAATTATCACTCTTGGGCCCAAACTGTTCGAAGAGCACTTCGAATCAAAAGAAAAATGGGTTTCATCGATGGCACCCTCTGCAAACCAACAGGCCCCAATGACCCTTTGATAGATCCTTGGCTTGAATGTAATGACATGGTTGTTACTTGGCTTCAAAATGCAATATCCTTGGAAATCAAAAACATTGTAGTATATGTTGTGTGACACCCTAAAAATCGAGGGTCCTTAATTTAACAAAATTTGGGCAGAGTCTCCTTTGTACGGGAAACTCTACCCAAAATTCAATATGTACAATATACATTAACACGATCTATCCAATGCCCGATATAACACAATGATCGTAACGGGTCCATTCATGAGTAAAAATTGACCACACCGGGTCCATTCATTCATACTCATATACAAACATCCAAGGTTATATTAAAAACAGTCCATATAAGTTCAATTACAACTCTCTTACATAAAATTACATGTCAAAACTAGTTTGCTCCAAAAGTTTTACAAAATGAGTTTTAAAAGCCACAAGTTGGCTTTCTTCACCCTTGCGGCCCCGAATGAGAGTCGTCCACCGGTGTATATCTCACATCTGAAATATTTTTCCATCTAGGGTGAGCCACACCTAGTAGAGTAATTCCTACAGAGGCTACTTCCCACCTAAGTGTATATGAAATGTGCACATGCAACAATCAACAACCAATATCTATTCCAACAAGAACATGTAGTTCAATGTGAAAATTCTACCATATCATATCATAATTTGAGATGATACTCATTCATGCACTTTAACCCGAGTCCTCATCGATTCCCACAACACAATGCAATGCAAATGTATAAAATATTTGTCATTGATGAAATACATCCAATGATCGTTTTTGAAATACAAGTCATTGTGTTTATAAAACCAATTCATTGTTGGATGTTTCCTATCGAATGAATACTTTATAAAACAAGTACACTCTTTTGGAATTTCACCTCAGGGGAGTGTATGAATCAGGTATTTTTATAAACAAAATCACGTGTCTTTATTGGGTAGCAGAGTTTTGAAATCGCACTGCAGGTTCTGCAAATCAATACACTTTTTTAGAATTTCACCTCAGGGGAGTGTATGAACCAAGTAGTCGGGTCTTGCACCCGAGGGAGAGTCTAGCCCTTCTTGCTATACCCGACACAAGTTTTTCATGTATGCAACCATATGACTTAGTAAAATATTCAACCCCACTTTCCCGAGCCCACCCATCAAACACCAATTATGGTGATTGATCCAACCATGCACTCACACACCCATACTCATGGTCATGAATGCATTTTTCCCGTGTAAAATGCAATATGATGCATCATTGCTCAATTAATGTCATGCTCAATGTAATGGATATCAATGAGCCAAATTTAAATCACACATTTCATCATGTATCATGGACAATTATATCATACGTATATAACTTCCAAAAACTCATCACAATGTCAATATATTAATACACATATATCAACATTTTATGTAATAACAACAACCAAGCATGTCATTACATAATCAAGCAATAACACCCTTAATCATCATGGCATAATGTAAACATGTAATATGCCCACATAACAGTCCCTAAACAAGCCACATAAAGAACCCGAAACAAGTCACAAAACAGTTTCTAAACAAGCCATAAAATAGTCCATAAACAAGTCATAAAACAACTCCTAGACAAGCCATAAAATAGTCCATAATTTCAACCCAAAACAGTCACAATTTTAGCCCCTAAACAACCACAATTTCAGTCGCTAAATAGCCACATAACAGCCTCTTAAATCAGCCCAAAAGGTAGGAATAAAATCAAAGTAGGAAGAACCCTACCTTTTATGGCATGTAGGAAGTAGTAGAACTTCCAAGAACTTAATCTCAAGCTCAAACCCAAGCTTCTCCCAAAATCTTGTTTTTGATTCTTCGGTGAAATTCTTCATTTTTGGTATAGTCGCGTAGTCCTCATTGAGGAGATCAACTTTAATACTTGGCTCAAAGAATTTCGACCGGCAGAACTCCGTATATCGTAAAAAGAAGGTAAAAATTTTCTCTTTTTTTTTTCCTATCTTCAACTCCAACGTGAGAAACCAGCAGACCCAGCAAAGTGTTCTATCCAAAATAAGATATTTAGTCCATATTTATATATTTTAACGCTTGGTCCATGTCGCGCCACACTCCTCCTTTTTTCCCGGGTTCGTTTTCTTCCCGAAACGATTAAATTTCGCTCTGGTTCAAGCTCAAAATATTTTATATGAAATTTATTTAAATTATAATAAAATTTTAAAATTTTTTATTTTTTGAGCACTTTTGAGATCACCTGACACCTTGACACCTGTCGCTTCGAAAAACATGAAAAAAATCGACTATTTCAAAATTCGATGAAAATTATCTGGGTAACTAGATTTCGCGAGATGAATCCAACGGTGAGGTCCGTTTCATCTTCTGAGCTCTAAAAAAATATGAATTTTAAACCCGCATTATAGTGATAAATTACCATTTTGTCATTTTTTTCGAAAAATTTTAAATTTATCCGGGTTTTATATGTTGAGACTGCACGAGTTATGGGTGGAATTGGAACAAAGATTTGCTCAAAACAATGGACCAAGGATTTATGAGCTAAAGCAAACAATCCATTCTCTCACCCAAGGAGAAGAGATTTTGTGAGTTTATACTTCTCAAAACTCAAAGGATTACTGGATGAACTCTTGAATTTTGGGTCTCTGCCACATTGCACATGTGGAGCAATGAAAACTGTTTTTGAAACCAACAAGGGATTGGATTATGAAATTT